TGGGTGGTAAGAACTTTATGTTCTGTGATTTCCTACCTTTCAGCCTCCATTGCGAACCAATTTGATCTGTTCTGGGGTGTTGCTGGGCAGATCAACGAAGATACCGTATCCCTCCAGCCATACTACAACTTCGCTCAGGCTATTGTAATGCATCTGACCAACTTCCATCTGGAATCACCTCCGGAACGAGTCTCAGCCGCTCTAACTGTCAGGGCTATCAGGGACAATCGTCCGGTTACGGTAGGCATTTGAAAATTTTAGAATTCGCTAAACGTCTGGAACAACCATAGAAGGGTCTGTATTGATGAAAAATAAAGAAGCAAGTTGAAAACCTCGCAGACTGTTTTCGCTCATAAGGTTACAGTATTTTATCTGTTTTGATATACGCTACTTCAACTTTAAAGGAAATGTAAAATAAAAAAATCGTTCATATTTCTGTCACTGTCGCTTATTTCCAGGTATATGCCACAAATGGTGAATGGCGTGATGTTTGTTCGTACAATTTTTATTTCCCACCACTGCAATGCAAAATTCCAAATGAAATCCTCTATTTCAACGTATGTTCGACACTTTTCAAAAAATGCTTACCTAAAATATTTCTATTTTAGTTTTTCGTTCGCGATTCATTTGGCTTCACAGTTCAAAGAGCTGGAGTCATGTACTGCGCTCAAAGTAAGTAAGCAGTCTAGCGAAAAGGAAAGAAATTCCTAAATGAATAAAATTTAGTTCAACCAACACCGGAACCGCCACCGCATCAGTGCCAGAATGGTGGAATTATCAATGCTGCAAACACGACCTGCTTTTGCCCACCAGGATTTACAGGAACCTATTGTGACCAAGTGGTAAGAACTTCGGCTATCTCTTTAGCAAATCAAGATTTGAGAAGCGGAGAAGCAGGAATTGTAGAGGTCGAAAGTTACTTACCTCTGGTAAAAATTTGACCTGCACTTCACCTAATAGAAGGGGAGGATTTAACCCTCTTGATTGATTAGGGTTTAACATACAAATTTTCTTCTTGACAGATAACGTAGACTCTACTTACCCAAGGTGGAAAAAATTTAGCATTCCTCTCGTTCATCGCTTAATTTCGCTAAATTAGACCTAGATCTGATTTACCCAGGTTTGCTACAACGGTGGAACCCCAGCTGGACAATTCTGCATGTGCCCTACAGGATGGATTGGAACGTTCTGCGAAGTTGGTGGGTGAA